GATTCCTTTAGGAATCTGCATATTATATCCTTATTTAATTATGTTTGTTTTATTCTTATGTATTCGCGAGTCATATTCGCCGTAAAAACATTTACGGCGTAAATGTATTATTATCGCACTGACTCGTATTAGCTGTACTATCACGAAATGTTGCTCGGCTCTATTCCTATCAACGTGTAAGGCTAATTATAATCCCGAGTCACTTTACGATAATATAATTAGTACCTGAATATTAAGTGCTCTGGGTATGTAATGAGCGACGATATTAGACGGTAATTTAATTATTCCTACTTTCTCGTACCTTACTGTGTGTCGAAATTAATCGTTAACGCACGATATGTGCCATACCATCTCCTCGCCGCAGTGATTTTAATCAAGAGAAACGTAGAGAGTGTATCGCAAAGGTGTTTGCCGACTGTAAGAAAGTAGTAATGTAGATTATATAGGACTCGTAGTTGAATTTGTCATAGTTTGGGCAGTGTTATTAAATAAGGAAGTCTACAGAGAATAGAATTTCCTACGTGAATGTATACAATGAAATCCAATTAAATTAATACGCATCGCCGTATTGATTCAATTCTCTGGAAAGTGGAACAATCTCCGATTGATGAAACGAAACAATTTTCAATTCATGTGACGTCTTGATTGAGAAATATCAGAATCAATCAGATGTATCCCCTTCAACTTATATCTGTTTCCTTTTTTTTTTGCACGTTTCCATTTTCGGCCCGTATATTAATCACGATTTTTTTCTTTCAAATTGACTACGTGATATAAATTAGAAAGTTAAAGCTGTTAGAGCAGGTGCACACGATATACGGGGCCAAAGTTAGGTTGCCCAGACGTAATTTATATTGTTTAACAATCAGATAAATGAAGAGCTAAATTGTTCGCCATTTCCATTTTTCACATCTAAATAACTGTATTTGCTCTATTACATATACAATTGTATTACCATGTCATTGTCCAAAATAATATTAAAAAAAAATATTAAACATAATTATTAAAAATAACACAAAAGATATTTCACGTGGACTTTTTATATATAGATGTTCCACAAATAGAATTAAAAGATTGTGTGCCCCTGCGTTAGAAGAACAAAACTGTTTTTACTACATGTAATTATCGACGCATGTCGAGCGGCGAATTTGTTAGATCATAAAAATTGTAGTTTATAATGTTACAGAGTATCTCTTAGTCGCGTTGAACGGTATCCGAGTTTCTTTAAATCAACATATGTAAAGATAAAAGTTACCAATCTTAACGATCGTTACGAGACCTTTTTTAATATAAAAAAAAAAATATATATATATACACATTAACTTTTGATGTGATGAATTGTTTATATACTGCCAATTTTTATAGGATATAATCGAGTCTCAATTTTCGATTGAATGCACGTGGACAAATCGTATGTAATTTTACGAATTCACAGACAGATGAATGTCTTCATATTTATTGGGACATTTGTAAACGATAGGCATTTTTTTCCTAAACTAGTCTCTCGCAATCATTAAGTCAGGATTGTTAACGAATTTACACAGTAGACACAAATAGTACACCTCGGAATGTAAACAATGTTGATAGAGTTTATGGAATTCGCTTATGTCGCCATATTGCCAATAATATTTCGTTACACAAGACAAAAAATTTTTTTACAGAATGTTTATAGTTATTTACGATTTTCATTCCTTTTACTAATTTGATTACTAATTTGATCAACAATATTTTTAATAGAGATTTATTTCTACCGCAATTATATGAAACATAAAATTTTGATCAGTAATAAATTTTATAAAAGCAAGCAATATTAGAACAAAAATAATCTTTTTCCAAGAAGTTTTTCGTTTTATTAATGGGAAATAAAAGGGTAAATTAAAAAGTTATGCATTTTTATGAATTTATTACTGTCAAAATTAATGAAACCATTACGGAAATGATGCTGGTAGTAATAAATTTACAAATTGGACTAATTATAATTACTTTTTTATGTCTATATCATGATATACTTTGTACGATACATTTTGCTCGCGTAATATATTATACAAAAACGTATGTTTTCCACATGAAATCTATTATTAAAATCTAATAATAGATAATTTGTATACTGCTTTATTCGTAAATTGTTGTTTATATTAAAGATTATAATTTTCAAGATGATATTTTAGAATTAATCGTGTATGTGGATGTGTGTATGTGTGTATGTGTATGTGTGTGTGTGTGTGTGTGTGTGTGTGTGTCTACAAAATAGGTGCACAAAGAATTAAATGTGCCTCACAATGATTTTGTATGATATTTAAAATTTTTTTAAATCTTATATCCAAATTGTTTTGAGAAAGATTTGTAGCGAGTTTTTCTAGCTAGATCCGAGCTTGGAGGTATTTGCACAATCACGTTGCGTTTACGATGAAAATATCTTACAATTAATCGGAAATATCATGAAATTGTAATGGATGTTCTCGAGGAACCTGCTGTAATCACATTAATCATAATATAACAGCTTTGTCGTCAATCGATTCTTAGAAATCGCGTAACTCCGTTGCCTTGTAAATATACCTAAAGCAAGGTTTCCCTTATTGCAACACGTTGAACATTTTGTAAAGTTTTATAAATAGTTCTACGTAGTTAAACAGCTGGACCAATAAAGTATATATCCGATTGTACGTTACTTTTATATGTATATATTCACACCCTATTCAGTCATATAGTAATATCCGATAGTTTTATCGAAATTTGAAGACAATTATCACAGATAAGATGCAGTGATCATTAATTAACAATGAAAATGTAGCTTTTTTACATATACAATAATAACATATCTATTTAATTTCTAATCTAGCTTATAACTACTAATATGATATACTTCAATCATTACTTTTGACATTGATTTCATCTTTGTGTATACTTCTTCAAATTAAATCATACAGTTAATATAATTTACGATTTGCTGCACAAGTAAAAGTTATCGCAAAATTGTTATAGAAGATAATAAACGCTGAGAATAAATGCAAAGTCAGAATGAACATAAAAAATACACCATGTAATTTAAATAATTCCATTATTTATTTAAATTATAAGTATATTTACTCCATCACAAGAATTATTCTATGTAATATTTCACAGTATTGCGAGGATACTTCCCTCTTTCAGAAAACGATACATAATAACGTTAAATATAAAGAAAAATTCGGTAAGAGTAAAAACATCTGAGAATATACAAAGAGGAATAATGCGAGAGATCCTTTGATAACTAATAATTAATTTTCTTTATGCTGTTATACAATATAAACACATACAGCTCAGAATTTGTGAATGAAAACTTGAAGTAACAACAGAGTCCGAATTTATTCCTGATCATATCATTACAGGAAATTCGGTTCTCAATACGGTGCTGATGAGTAGAATTATGCGTTTCCGCATTCGTTGTATTTTAAATGAAGAAAAAAAAAAGAGTACAATGAAGTAACATTATCACGTTGACTATTAATCTTAAATGAATCACGGTAACTAAAAGCTAGAATAATTTTCACACTTGAGTTTACAGGCACGTACTTTCATAGTACCGGATACAATCGTGGTAACCAACCGATTTTTACATAAAAAATTTATAGACGTTCAAAAATGGACAAATATCTGCGATTTCTGTATCTAATTGCGAATGGACCCTTGTTTTGGGGTTGTACTTGTTGCTACGTAACAATATTAATCCGACTCATTAATGTTCTTGCGTAACAATGTAATATCTTAAAATTTGCTTGTTAATACATTAATATGTTTAAGTGCATTCACAAATGTGATTCCACGATGAACTTCCGTTAAATTTACAATAAAAGTAACATGCTCGTCACTCGCAATTTCTATCATTGCGAGAGGAGCATGTTTTCGAGACACGTAAGTTTCGCGTAGAGAACTTTCACTGCCTTTCAATACTAATATTAATATTATCCTTCTCACATTTATACATACTATGGCATTTTTGTAAGTGTAAATAAAAAAATAGCTGATGTTTTGTCCTTTTAAAATAATAAATTAATATTTTGGAGATTATATAAAATATTAAATTTAACTAAATTTATATCACGTAATAACCAGGGCTCATAATTTATCATAATAAATTGAATAATTATTATTTTTATGTACATATAATGACAGGATTCGCAAAAAATTTTACAAATAAGTATCTTCAATTTACTTCAATATACGAAATGATCATTTCTCGACTTAATGCAGAAATTTAAAAATAATATTATATAAATAAAATCACAACAATGTAAAAATGTGCGATATGTGTGCGTATGTATTGCATAACGATAAAACGACTAAAAAAATAATATAATCTGTACATAAAAAATCAGATATGGCAATTGTGCTATGAATAACTGTTTTTTTACTCCATGTCATAATTATATAATTATAATTTAAATAATTTTCGAAAATCGTATCTAAAGCGTAAAAAAATTGTGCACGCCTTCAAAATTAATTTTATTTCAAACAACGTTTAATTACAAGCCTTGATTATAGACTAATAGTCTCGAATAGAGAAATAAACCCAATTTAGTAAATAAGTAAATATATAATCTTGGGTAAACTTACACTATATTTGAGTATTTTTCGAATATAAATAATAATCAAATACAGGAATTGAAACCGGTATCATTCCATCGAGATTTGAGTAAGTGATATTGATCCCTATGTATTATTTGCGACATGTAAATATAACATCGATACAAGGATCTTTTCCAAATATTAGGAACTTGGTCGGTCTAGACATTACTCTGAGATGCGACAATTTGAAGTATTCTACACTAGACGATTCGCATATAAGTACACATTTCCGCTTTGCTGTTTCCTGACCGTGACTTAGCGCGAGACACAATTGTGTCTCTTAATATTTCTAATAAAAGAGATTCATCGAAATTATACCCGTTTCACTTCTTGTTTGAATTGTAAATTTCATAATATGTGTTTGTTGCGCTGTGTGTGTGTGTGTGTGTGTGTGTGTGTGTGTGTGTGTGTGTGTGTGTGTGTGTATATACATATATACACATATGCACATATATGTAACGCATTATTACGTATCATACATAATATGGCGTTTGTATATTGTGCAAATAATCGAACACTTACGTTGAACTGTTGTGCAGGGCATACCGCAATGCATATAGAATTATTAACGCAGAAAGCATATAAGAACACTCGCTGTTCGTATCTCTCTTTCTTTCCGCCGTCCTCGCGTTACGACGTTGAAGTATAACGAAATTGTTCTATTAGACGTTTAATTCAATAGGCTTTCACTGCTAGGCCGTGGTTTAGTAACCAGACTATATAAGGCTCGTATTCCGTTCTCCGTTAGATCCGGAGGCCCGAACAAAAAATCCCGTCGAGCGTTCGGATTCGACAACAGGTCCCGCATGCTCTCAGTCGTAAGCACCCAAGAGCGTAATGAGGTTTGCGTTAAATTTACTTTCCTAGCCAGTGTCCCGGTAATGTGAACGTCGTCGATCCAAAAGTACGGCTCTTTCTGAGCTTCGCGGTACAGTATAAATACACTATCGGGAGAGTATAGGATCGCCCATCCAGCACAATATGCGGGATAAAGTCTACCGGGATACTCCTGAGGAGAGACACGCCATTTTGAGCGCCAGGATCTCTTCACTGCGGAAGCCGACAGAAGATCACAGAGAATCAGACGTCTTGCACCCCACGGCGAAAGGCCATGCGTTAGAAAGTCCAACATGGCCGGTAAATGAACAAAAACGTCATCATCTAATTTAAGAATATATTTGGCACCTGAAACAAAAAATAGTAACATCAAAATCAGATATAAATATTATACCCTTGTAAATTTAATAAAAATATAAAAAATAAAAGATAAGAATTGTATAAGAAAATCTATTTATAAGAAAAATTAATCGATCAAATTAATATTAATAAATCTATTCAATCAAATATCAATTATTATCAATTATCATCAACTATTATCATTATAATATTGTTGTAATATCTGACAAAAAAAATGGTCGCAAATCAAAAATAAATAAAATAAAATTATAAAACGGTGAACATCATATTATGTTCGCTTCTTACTTGGACAATAATAAGTAGCCCACTTTAATCCCATAACGTGCTTGTAGGTCATGTTTCTGTAGGCATCAAGAAAGTTTCCCTGTATTAAGTCTTGGTATTTCTCGTTCTCCTTCTTGAGTTTGGATTGATATTTCTCCGAGTATCCCACGAGAAATAATAAAGTCACGTCCGGCGCTTGTTGACCCCAGGTCTCCCGCACGACATGCCTCTTCGGAAAATTCCCTGGCGCCGAGTGAACCAACATTAACAGCAATGGCTGCGTACGATTACAGGGATTGTGATTCATAATGAACCTAAAGTCCGTGATGTTGATCAGCGTGGATTTATCATCGGACGGAAGTTCGTTTATTGAGTAGGGCTGCGTGGAGGGTGTGACGTTTCCGGGAAATATAAGGATATATCCTGGCGCGGCCACACCGCCGCTGGAGTAAGGAATCGGCGATCCTGAACCATCGATGTGAATCCAAAACGAGAAGCATCCAGTTAGTGCCAAAATGACCACAAAGATGAGGGTGCATGGCGAAGTACCGGAGGCATGTAGCCGCCGCTTATCCAGCATACTAATAAGCCCCTTTCATCATATACATCTGCCTGAAAACACGAATATTCTCGATTAGGTAACTTGTTCTCACCTTTACAGATTATTACTCGTATTATAGATCCTGTACGTTCCAGGTGTCTCATGATCCTTTCGGACATCCTTACTGCAGACTGTACCAGTTTTATAGAATATACATTAAAATGTATCTCTTTTTACAATTCACAAAGAGAAACAAAGTAACCAATAAAAGTTTATTAAGAGCTTAGTAAGAGCCAACGAGAATCCGTAGTCGTTTTGCAAAGTATGTGTTAGTGAAAAGTTATGCAATTCACAATTACATGCAAAAACGCAAACGTTTTGATAAGTTCTAGTCATCCTAAGTACAACTGAGAAGATTCTGATCAGAAAAATGAATGTTGATAACATTTGATAAAACGTAATATATACGTTTATAAAAAAAAGATGTAAACTAAAAATATCTAGTCACTAAAGTAAAGTAATACACACGAGTTATGATCACTGAGAAAACGCACAGTACATATAAAATTCTATGAAGCCGGATAGTAAGAATGTCTGGCTCAGAATGTCATTGTTTAGAAATAAAATAGACAATGATAAAGGAAAATTATAGTCTGGAAAAGTAAACAATTGACATACCACGATAAAAACCGAACAATTAGAGTAGACGATATATGATATGAAATATGATTAATTGTAAGAAACAACAGTGAGAATGTTTTTCTAGTTTTTTCATGTTATAATATTATGAGAATTTTATAAATTTTTATTTTAGAAAACGCTATAAAATTTGTGATCGTAAACT